GGTTTTTTTTTTTTTTTTTTTTTTGGTACCAGGGATCGAACTCGTGTCCTTGTTCTTGTAAGGCAGGCACCAGAACCACTGAGCTAAATCCCCGGCCCCTTTTTGGTTTTTTTTTTGGAGGGGCCTGGGAACTTTTGCCTATCCATGACAGTAGATGCTTTTTAATCTTACCATTTCTGTTCACATTTTTATCCACTAGATGTCGCCATGAAACTATTAAGGTGCTAACTGCCTCAATTTATCTACAATTAGTTGAGTAAATGGTAAATTCACTTTATGAATGTTAATGGACTTTTTAGTTTTCTTGTGTTTGGGACCTATAGAAACAGAATCTTGGAGATGTAAGTTTTTTAAGTTCATTTGACATACTGAAATATTTTTGAGTGAAATGATTTGACACCTGGAATATACTTCAAAATAATATAAGGGAGAGATGAAGTAGGGAGTTATGGATAAAGCAAGATGGCAAGGAGTTCATAATGTTAAAGCTGAAGCAAGGAGTGGTGGCATATACCTGTAATGTCAGTATTCTGGAAGCCTGAAACAGGAAGATCACAAGTTCAAGCCTGGCCTGGGCAATTAGGGTTTTCTTCTTTTTCTTTTTAAAATCTTTTGGGACCAGGGGTTTAGCTCAGTGGTTCTGCCACCTGCCTCTTTTTAAAATCTTTTTACTTCATGAAAAAAAACAAAACATTTTCACGATGAAATAACAAGTGAATAACAATAGTTATTATACCATGTGTATCATTATCTTCAAAGTAGTTATTTACAAGACATAAACTAAAGAGATTTTTACAAAAAAGAAATAAACAGATACAAACATAAACTTTCCTTTCAACAAACTGAGATAAACTACTAGTATAAATGAAACAGAAATTAGCATATATATTGAAATATTTAAAAAATGGAATATGTAATTTGGGAATATATTTGAACTTCTCTCTACTTCCTATTTATCTCTTATTTTGTTCTTTGTGTGTGTGTGTGTGTGTGTGTGTATACACTTGTGTTTGTGTGTATGGTATTCTATAAGACAAATTGAGATATATGAGCTTGTGTGTCTGACTTATTTCACTTAACATTATATTCTCAGGTTGCATCCGTTTACCTACAAGTGCCTCTTTAATGGTAGAATAGTACTCTATTGTGTATAAATGCCACATTATCCTTATGCATTCATCTGTTGATGGACATATACGCTGTTTCCAAGATGTATCTATTTTAAATTGTGCCGCTATAAGCATAAGTATGCATGTAGCCCTGTAATATAATTTTAACTCTTTTGGGAAAATACCTAAGAGGGGATAGGTGAGTCAAATAGAATTTCTACTTTTAGTTTTTTGAGGAATCTCCACACTGATTTCCATAGTGGTTGTACTAGTTTATATTCCCACCAAAATATAGTAGAATTCCTTTTTCTCCAAATCCTCACCAGCATTTGATAGTTAGATTTTTGGGTGATAGCCATTCTTTCTGGGGTAAAGTGGTGTCGTGGAGTAGTTCTAATTTGCATTTCTCTGATGGTCAGCAATGATGAGCATTTTTTAATGTTTATTGGCCATTTGTCTTCTTCTGAGAAGTGTATTCATTTTGGTTGCCTGTTTTTGACTGGGTCATATTTTGGAGAGCGGTCTAATGTTTTTTTAGTTTTTTGTGTGTTCTTAATGTTATTCATCCATCTGTGGAACAGCTGGCAAATTTTTTTCCCAATTCTTCAGATTATTTCTTCATTCTGTTGGTTGTTTCCTTTGCTGTGCAGGTTTTTTAATTTGATATGATGTCATTTGCTGATTCTCAGTATTAATATTTCTTATGTTATTGAGGTTCTGTTCAGAAAGGCCTTGCCTTTGCCTGTGTCTTCAAGAGTTGTGCCTGTTTTATCTTCTAGCAGATTGTTTCTGTTTTAACATTTAGATCTTTGATCCATTTTGATTTTAGTTTAGTACATTGTAAGATATATGGGTCTAGACTCAGTCTTCTGCATGTGGGTATTCAGTTTTCCCACACCATTTATTAAAGAAGCTGTCTTTCCTCCAGTGTATGCTTTTTGCTCCTTTGTCAAAGATTAAATAGCTATATAGGCATAGGGTCATTTCTGCTTTTCTGTTCTATTCCATTGATCCACATGCCTGTTTTTATGCCAATACCATGCTGTTTTTAATCATTGTGGCTATATAGTATAAGTTGAAGTCTGAGAATTTGATGCTGGCTGCTTTGCTTTTGTTACGCAGGATTGCTTTTGTTGTTCTGGGTCTCTTCTGTCTCCACATAAATTTTAGGATTGTTTTCTGTAGTTCTGTGAGAATGCTCTGTGGTGCTTTACATGGAATCTGTATATCAACTTTAGAAATGTACCATTTTTGATTATGTTGGTTCTGCCTATGTAAGAACAAGGAACATTTTTCCATTTTCTGATGTTCTCTTCAGTCTGATGTAATTTTTATTGTGGAGATTTTTACTTTCTTTCTTAGGGTAATACCTAAGTATTTAATTTTTTTTGATGCTATCGTGAATGGTATTGTTTTCCTAATTGCTTTTTTTTTTGAGACAGGGCCTCACTATGTAGTTGAAACT